ACTCAACTGAATCTCTCGTTTATGATATGCTCCCCCGACTGCTTAGAAGAGGAACTAAAGTTATTGGGACGCACATTCCTTTAGTTGGATATCCTGAAAGGTTCGTTCGTACTCAAGAATATGGAAGTCGTCAAGCCAAAACCTACACAATGTTCTGTTAGGAAGAAGCCTGTATACATGAGGCTCCCATTCGAAGGTGACTCGGTTGCTGAACTAATCACCAGACGGCTTAGAAACTCTATTGATAAGACATACTTGGCTGCTAATATGTGGTTGAGCTTCAACTCCAGCCCCATTATCGAATTCCGCTTGGAGGACGAATTGCCACGCTCTACCACCAGCTTTTGTGCGTTTTCATTTGTATGCTCGTGCCGAGTATCATACGTTGGTCGTACGACAAGGCATTTGCGAGAACACAATCCCTTATCTCTGAGTGGTGTTTGGAAGAAACCTGGCTCAAGCGCGATTGCATCACATTTTGCCGAAACCAATCGTCGTGGACAAGGAGCAAGTCTTCACTATCATATAACGGGTACCTCTGAACCAATCACGACTGGTACGATTCAGACTATTATCGATCGCAGGGGCGATTGGAATCTGACTGATGGATCCACAACTTGCGTCCAAAAAAACTTGCGCGACCTCTGAACTTGAACTGGCCTACGAAACATTCGGTCCCACAAGTCTGTCTGACATTGACGTCACTTACCTGATTCCGTGACCCATTGATCTATCGCCCATGCAACCCACCTTCCTTTAATTTCTATTTCTCTAAAGTGTATGTACCCCCCAATCTTAACCTTTTCCACGTGATTTCTGGTACCATATAACAAGCTTTGTTCACTGCCTTTCTCGTTCTTACTCCATTTTTCCCAAATGGGAAATTTTCCTCCATTCAGTTGCAAATTAATGTTGATTGTACAAAAACGATACTTTCGTCTCAAACGTCATAGGAAATCTCAGTAGGGCGGAGACAATCTAACCTTGACGAATAAGTTCAACTTACGGGTAGCTCGCGAAAGTGGTCGCTATAGTCGATCGAGTAACCAACGATAAAGCGATCGGGAACCTCAAAACCAACGTCTATGGGATCAAACGGAAGTGAAATAAACGATCAGGTCTACAATGTTAGGTGGGATTACGGCAAAACTTATCAGCTAAAACGTAAAACAATGGCCCAAGTCCCCATTTTATTGTAGGAATAGATCACAGAAGGTAAAAGTGCGTGGCAGCCACATTGCCAATGGCATCAACACATCCGGATGGGTAGTCATACACAAGTGAACAGGCTATGAAACCAATCACACTGGTGAATACTAGCGGAATTAGACGAGTGAATCAGCATCTACTTCAGACCTTGACTTGACTAATCTGTCTAGTTAACGCCAAAGGGCTGCCCGATTTTATGACCAGTAACCGGTGGTGATGCGAACCTATAACTAAACACAGACAAGCCGAGTTGTACAGGCGTAAAATTTTAAAAAAAATTACTGTTCAGCTACAACGCTTTCGGTGCCACTTTCCAAGCCACTTGGAGAAAACATGGGGGCTGAGACACGGTCAAGTTGCTTAAGCCTAGCTACGAGCAGTCTATATGCAGAGTTTGGGTTCGAACCACAAATCTTCCAGTCAATGGGTTCACGTTTAAACCAGCGTAGTAACTCAAGTAAGTGCACACGACTATTGCACCATCTAACCAGAAAACTTGTGAATAAGGTGGCATCTAGAAGAAATCCAAAAAACAGCGATGGGTTCGCCATTCAAGGCTTCAAGCGGACTGAAAATTACACCCGAGTGGTTTGTGAAATAACCAGAACATAGCCGGCAAAACGAAAAGGTTAGTTACCTCATACGGGTCAACCATCAAGTATAACTGTCTAGCGTGCCCGGGCGACCAAAATATGCGTGGCCAAACATTACTGATCTCTTTTCGGTCCACCACAGTAGTTTTAACAAGCGAACCGCAGTGCTGACAAAACGGTGTGATGCCATGGTATTAAACATTTACGAAGTTGTCAGTGATGAAGTCAGAGCGTCATGGGCCCTTGCGATCAAAAATGCGCGGAACTGAGTATAGTTAGTTAGAGGTTGCATAGCTATTCGAGGGGTGATTGACGTCACTCCTTCCTAGTGACCATTGCGCAAAAGGCCTTCCGAGGACGAATGACCATGTTTGTCAGATAGTTGCACAACAGTCGGTTTCACTGGTGACAGCATAAAAATCATGCTCTAAAATTCCTTACCATAAAATTTAGACGGGAGGCTATAAGCATGCAATGCAGTAATTCGCTGGAACTATGGACTCTCCCTCTCTCTCTCTCTCTGCGGTCTTTCCACTGTCTATTTAGAGGGAAGATAGAAAGGTTTTCTCGAGATGGAAAAAAGCATATGTTCATTCGGAAGAAATTAGCATGAGGGGTGTAGTCTGACAGTCAACATACTAGAATTTTTCGTTCGGGACCAAGACATTCAAAGTAAGTTAGACATATAGTTCATTCGAAATATAACTTGGTGTATTGTTCCCTAGGCTTTTCGAAACAGTTTATCAAATCACAAAACCACACGTGGAACAACAGGAGGTATACTCACAATCAGGGTCGAAGGAAACGCAGTCTTGTCGACGTTTCACCAATAAGCTAAAAGTAAGAGAATGAGCGAAAATAATGTTTCCCACAGAGCGTCTTCATCAAACTACGGGATTACTTACGGCCAACGGTGCTACGAGAAACCACATTGTGTGCAAAGTGTTCAAAATTCAGAATGAATGCATTATTGGTTTTAAAATTTTCTTCACAACAAAAAACTCAGACTGAGATGCAAGAATTTCCATGGACAACCCCGAGGATCCCTCAATTTGTGGTCCATCAAATGTTTTGTACTCATATCGTGCATACGAACCAGACCTTTGGAGACCCGAAAGTTGATTGAAAAAATATTCCACTACGAAGCAGGACATATCCAAATAACAAAAGGCTTCTTTCGCGATTGTTATCCCGAAACCAACCAGTTGCAAATACTGATACGTAGCGTTCAGTCTGGACAGAATCTGAAGGTGATGTTGAAGACGATCATCATGACGGTCACCATGAAAATGGCGGTGGTGGTGATACTGACACAGTTGTCCTACTCAATTTTGGGCGATAACGCTAAGTTGATGTATAGTGTCTTCCACCAGCATTTCGGAGCTTGGCATACAGGTGAGTCAGATTTAGGTAGATCGATATGAACTCATTATAAGATACTTGACACAAGCACAATACGACTTATAAGACTCCTGATTGACTAATGTCTGCTTACTTTACCTAACCCAAACTACATTTGCAGCCGTTACCGAGGTTAGCCCAATTATGCCATGGAAATAACGTGAACTTTATGACACTGTACAGCTTATGTCTGCAAGTTGAATTTTTACTTTTTGCTTACCACGCTGCTTCGATTGAACGCGGATTAAGTGACTTCAGGTAGGAGTACAGCTTGTGGAGTGTTGTTCCAGTGTCAACGAGATCCTCAACAACGAGAATATCCTGTAAGTTGAAGACAAATGGTGGAAATACCGCCAAAAATTTACTAATTCAAGTATAAATGTGGGAAGCGAACGCATAAATTGGGATAAAAGTTAATGGGTTCCTGGCTATACGATTCGAGGAAATCAAACTGTGAAAAAGTGAATATACTCGCTGAATGGTGTTTTTTGGTCAAGTCTGCTAGTGGTACAGCTATCTTAACAAGAGTCGAGGAAACAAATGTTTGCCCGATGTTTGTAATCAAGAACGTTCGTCAAATCTTCTATCAGAAATTTAGGAAAGAAAACTACAAACATTTGGATAACCCGGCATATCGCACACCAAAATACACTCGTAAAAGTATTATTGTCTCAGAATTTGGTATGCATCGGAGCTTGCACAAAATTGGCTCCAACTTGCCAGGTAATTTGGACTTTCAGCTTCTTTGCGACAAATAGTCTAAGTAAACAACAGTTGCATAGTACTGAGATACATCAACTCCAACAGGGCTGTAAAAGGTGCTCGAATCATAAGACCATACTCACTACTTCCCCCCACTCACACCAAGAAAATAAATGACTCATTTCAGCCCGCACAAACGATGGCTCCCCCGAGAGATGTACCACTGGGACAAAAACTAAGAAGTCCCCTACCCGAAACCTAGCAAGGAATTTAACAGCACTCGAGAGATAAGAAATTAAAACTTTGGAAAGAGAGCTACGCTAACTACTACAGCCGTAGGGAATACAACCTTGCATCCTGGCCTTAGTCTAAATAGGATTGATACTCCACGTATTGTGCAGTCGTCACGCAGCGGATGTAATTTTTGTGAAGGGTGACAGTCTAGTGTTCGCTAGAGCAGAACATTGTTTTGCACCATTACATTGAGGCATCTTACTAATGAATGCGACGCAAAACGGGATCTCATCGATCAGATAATCAGACTAGAGTTCTTAGGAGCTGGAACAAGCATCTTGCAAAGAATTTGATATTAATTTGACATGGAAAATATTTCCTCTGCTGAGTTTTACCGTACGATTTAAATCTGCTCTTATGCATAGTGTACAAAACGGAGGGTTTATACTCGCAAACGAAAACTGAACGCACTGTCATGGCTTTCAGCACGATGAGTTGTCGCTCTCCACGAGTGAAACAAGTGTTTATGGCATAACGTATAGTAAATAACTAAAGTCACGTGAATGTTTTTTATAAGACATTATGCAAACATTTTTTAAAATCATTATAAGAACGTTTGCCAATGGTTTCCGGACTTGCAGAATTCATATTCACATGACTCTCTTCTAAACAGTCCTCCTCCTGCCCCGGCGCAAAAATTCTTGCGAGTCCCTGGTCAAAAAGAGCAGCAACAGACCTGAGGTTTGTCTTCATTAAGGCTTGCGGTAGAAATAACTTTGGCCGTACCACGGTTTGAACTCCAGATATTTGGCATGTGAGGCCATCACGTCCCCACTGTTCCATGATGGCACGCAAGATATATTTGAACCATCACGTCTGAACGTGTTCAACTTGCTGATAGTCACTTTTGTCCAAAAGACAGTCCATCATCCAACTACAGGAACTTTTCATTTAAGACATTTTACTAATTTAGACAAATTAATTGTATGGGTGAGGACATCAGCCGAAAAGCAAGGATGTGCAGTTTATTCACGCCATTGATTATGCCATTATCAGTGCTGCGAGTTGGAAAGATTGCTAGGAATGGCAAAGAAAGTACACATGAACACCGTCAAAACAGGATAAGCATTCGACAAAAAAATTGTTAGAGGTTGCGATGCACTTTACATATGTGCAATAAAAATGCCAACTCTCACTTTGTTTTCATATTTGCCCGGGTCGCTGCACATAGTTAATCGAGTCTCGTGCCCAACTCTATCATTCTGTGTTTTAGATCGGGAAGTTAAACTCCCGGTCAGGAAAGTGGAGTTACCACATAGGTGTTGGCAACAACAAAATCAAGATGTATGGTTATATTCTTTTGTCTCGAAAACGCAGCGGCTTCCAGCTGTTCACACAAATCAGCAGCGAATTTGAATGCTCCTTTCAAAATGCACAAAAGTGTTAGAGATGTTGATCCTCGCTTTTCCAGGTTGTCCAGTATATCTAATGCCATTTTCTCCAATCTTGAAATGAAGATAGATGCGACAACCAACCTGTCTAGGATCATCCCGCGAGGTACTAGAATCCCTTCGATGTATTTGTTATATCGCTGTGAAAGGCGAAAGTCACATGCACTATATCCGCTGAACTCATCCGGTATCTGAATCGTTAAGTTACGCATGTTTAAACTTACAATCACAGCATGATATTTGTGATATGATTCCATGACGCACAATAATTAACACCTCGCGGAAGACAGATGCCTTTCTGAAGTGACAATTATTCAAGCCAACTGAAACCAACGGAAATATTGTTCATTAGATCCAGTTATTAGGTATAGCACATATACAGACGTTGTAACGAAAGGACAATAAAGCATCAAGATGTGTAGTTTTCAATGAGGATCAGTGCAAACAATTTGAGCCTCATTAGTCTGCATTGTCAAGACTTGTCTTAAATATGACTATGTGTATAGCCTGAATATTTTATGAGGTCATTATGAGGTTCTCATACAGCTATGAACAACACGAGAGTGTAGAGGAAACGGCAAAACGTGGTCTACTTTGGAATATGATTTAGGAGGAGTTGCGTCAGCCCATCAAGTGATAACACGCAGTCCGCTAATGTAAATTCTGCAACTGGTTTGTAATTAAGTGTGAGGGCAAATACGGTGTAAAAAAACGAACTCCGCAAAATTCGAATAGATTGTAGATATGGCCAAATTACGAAGAACTTCGAGGAGAACCTCAAGTTCAAAGCCACGGCTTCAGAGTGGTTCTGGGAGGATAGACATCTGCTTGAGCACATGGTGCTGCATCTCGGTGGATAAACAGAAAGCGTCCTATTTATCCATGTTTCACTTGAACTGCTGAACTATATAGAGACTACGCTAACATCCTGAAGAAGCGATGAAATGAATGTTCACTGATTATATATATATGTATATATATATAACATGTATGTGCATTGTAAAAGTATACTTTCGCAAAAATCCTGAGTTCTGATTCAAAATTGTTCTCCTTAGATCAATAATTAATTGATGCAATCATCTTAGAAGGACATACGGCTGCTTTTTTAAAGACTGACAAGTTGCAAAGCCAAAGGATCATTAACAGTATCATCACTGACAGCAACACCAAATGAGAATACCAGTGATTCACTACTTCACATCGAATGGTTTACATAGAGCCTTACGACCGAAGGAAATGGGAAAGTCAGTGGGTCTTAGGGCTACCCTATCATAAACATCAGATGTGCTTACACCTCCAGCACTCGGTCAGTAATCTGGAAAGAATCTGAGATTATGATCGCCAATAATATCGGCTAACCACCATTGTCAGTGTCTCCTGCCAACCACAGAGAAGGGCACGTGGATCCGATTCTGGAAGGCGGATTGTATTAACAATACCCAAGCTTTTCGCAGCAGTCTTCATTCCTTTCTGTCATGTCAACTTGTCTCCACCTATGGGTTTGTGCCAATCCGAATCAGGCGCGGAAAACAGCGGTCCTCTTGGCATATAGCAACTCGGCATGCGTGACACAGCTCAGCCACCTTAGGTTATAGTGATGTATGTATTATTTGAGGAAAGCATCTCTTGTTTCACAGATCCCTCACTCGAAGTGGCCATGCTATTTTTCACCTGAATTCTGGCAGTCCGTCTAGGGGTATTGTACTCTTGGACATAGAGTGTCGTTCGAAATCCAGGGCCTACGTTTGGCGGGTAGAACCATTTCACGGGCCAAGTAACCAGCGTCTTGCACAGTTGTGGACAGTACCTTCCAGTAAGTCTACATCAGAAGACGTCATGTCCGGAAGGATGGTCCTGCTAGATTTATTTCACATCAGGGTCAAAAAGCCTCTCAGTAGCCACACGTGATATGCACATTCTGTACGCAACGAGAATAAGCAACGAACAAGCGCGCGGTCTGAATTCGCACAGGTGTTCCAGAAGGACAGTCTGTAATCAACCCACGCCACGCTAGTGCCAACGTGGTCTACCTGTCTCTTAGTGTATCAGAGCCTTAGTCTGTTGGGGCTTAAGCAGACAGCGATTACCGGTGGGTTTACGGCCACACAGACGTTGGCGAACGAACCTTACCGGTGGGTTTACGGCCACACAGACGTCGGCAAACGGACCACACATAAGGGATCATTAACATGCAACGGTTCAACCAAAAAGTTCTTTAGCTCGGTGGCTTACGACAAAACTGACCGTATCAGAACTAGTCACAGCAACTTCCGGATCACCAGAGGTGCGCGAATAGAACTGAGTAGAAACCGATGGGGAAATCAGTTTAGCAACCACATTTGGGTCTTGAATCAATATAAAGCGAGTCCAGTGTACGTGCAAGAGTTTTCCAGCTTGTTTAAGAGTGTGAACATTGAAAGGTGCTGGGTGAAGTGAGCGACTGGATTTGAAGGACAATTTTGAAATGACCGTCGCCATTGCGGTCGAGTCAAACGTAGATATTGCAACCAGTGAAAACGGACGGTAAAGGGATCCATTAATCTTTAAGGCTTGGCTTAATGTGATGTCACTAGAAAAGAGACGAGGAGAGCCAGCAGTATGGATATGTGAAAGGGAAGAAGAGGCGTAATGTGTAGTCTGTTTTCGCTTGCCCGCCCTGTTGTACGCAGAAAGTAAGGCAAACAGGCTAAAGCACCAAGTGACGGCGTTTACTTATAGGTGTCCGATTCATCGTTTTACGAGTGCTACCGAATTGCCCAGAACGAGACAGAAGGATGGTTGGGGTCCTCAAACAAAGCCCTTGGCTCAAAAGCATAACCGTAGTACTTGGCGTAAGACTGTCAGAGAAGCTCAATTTTAAGGAGCTAGTCGCCGCACGTGTTCCAAACCCGAGCCTAGAGGGCCGGAAAACTGTTATTCAGACCTCCACCCACTGACCAACCTCGAGAAAGAGGGACTGTGACTGTCAGATGTACACTTCCCAACATAGCAATCCCTCGCTGTCACATTGACAGCTGGGTTCCGCATTCTTCTGATATCTGAAACGGACAAGCCATCAGGTCTGTGATAATGGGAGCCGCTCCATTTGGGATCAGTATGTGAAAATTATCTTCAGCTGATACTTCATGGTCGTCCATTACGAAGTTCGAGTACCTGTATAACCTAATAGGTATAACCTAACAGTATAACCTAATAGCCAGATGTTACCTGGCTCGTATAATTGGTCTCTGTGAAAGGGAAATGCGGGGTTGTGAAGCAGGACGCCGATGTGTTGATAAAAAAGACCGCTCCTAGTATATCCACTGCCACAGTGGACCGGTGAACGCCGGTCTTGTAGGTTGATGGTAAATCCAGAGTGAACCTCTAATCATTCAGGGTTATACCAGGATCAATCGTCTTATCTAAGACTTTGCAAAAGAATTTTATACACTGTCAACATGCCCTCAGCAAGTGATTTGCTTAATTTTGGGACGTTAAAATTGCTCGATGTTCCCGTGATGCTTTTGTCTGTGGCCTGCATCTCTCATGATCCGTGGTCGTCGTACTTGCATGAGTAGCAGGTCCAGCTTGCTAATCGTTCTGCTTGCCACCGCTGTGTACCAGTATATTGGTGTTCGTACGGCATAAGGATTCTTGGGTTTTCTACTGTCCATAGACACTTTCTCACTCGTTTTTTCTGTACCGTCTCTCTGTGTCGGTATGTTGACACTATCAGTTCTGATTACAGCGTTTTCCCACTCACATTCGTGTATCAGTATGCCATGAAGTCCAGGGACGTGATTAAGTTCATAATAGTTGGGAAGTTAAGTGTTGACGGCCTACACACGCATAAGGAACAGCCAATTTCATAGGTAGCGCGAATTGTCAAGTTATTGATCGAATTCCGGTTCACAATCGTTCACTCCCGGAGCCGGCTTTTGTACATGATATGCAAATTAATAGCGATTGATCAACTGCCTCAACAAAACATCATAAGATTTTGAGTCCGGAGACGAGCAAATGTCACATCACATTCAACCACAGTCACCGCACAGCGTGAATACACCAGCACTTCATGCACACCTCTTGGGTTGATCGATTTCGTCACTCTTTCAAAGCTTTTCCCCATGACTTGATGCACGTTTTATGTTCCTTGGAGGTAATAATGCTTCTTTTCAAAGTCCAAACTTTAATCGCGAACACACGTACTAGGGGGCACCTCGGAGAGTAACCTACGGCTGGCCGAGAGGATGGAGCATAAATGTCATAGGAATTACAGCCCCCAGTTACGCAAGCAAGAAAAGCGGGAATGTAGGAAAACTGATTAATTGAAAACATTGACTTACACGCTATTGTGTGTCTACAGAATGTTTGTGAACGACTGACCACCAGAGATTTTCAAGAATATTTAGAAGTACCCAACGATTTCCACCAAAAAATACTATTCTTGCCGCCTAGTGACCAAAACACGTAGCCAATCGGTGGAGCAGTAGCAAGGACGGCAAGGACGTAAGTACATTTATATTAGTCTAAAAAATTGCATGCGCCATGACTAATTTTCTCCTTACGTTGCAAAACCTCAGCTTGGTTGTTAAGGTCTTATACGATAAAATCACTGCAAAAGATTCCGTGCAAACGATAATTTAGTGCACTATTTGAAATTTTGACCCAAAAATAACTGATATTAGGGGTAGAGGCGTATGTTCAGATTTCTGGGGCTTATTGTGCCCATAATGTTCCTGGGTCGTGTCTTATGACAACATGGACGGACGCATTTATCTCTCTCACTTGGGTTGGAAAAGCAAGACGAAAGGCATTTTCCGGAGATCGGAAGAA